ACTGCTGGTCGGGAGAACATTGTCAGTTTTCACATTTGATGGTGTATGTGATAGGCCACCAAGTATCCATTCATGCTTGTTAAGTCCTATTCTAGAGTGTTCCAATTCAGTTAGTTATTAGGGGTATTTTGGGGAATCAAAAGGGGGGAATATTAGTATAAAAGTAATGGAGGGTGAGCAAAAGGGTATGCAAAATATTGAGTAAATTGGTTGATCCAATTGGGAGATAATCCAGGCCTCTCGAATGCCTTGGAATTGTTCTGTTCTTTTCTATTTCCAGTTTCATTAAATACAAATATACTCCTTAGTTTACATTCTCCAATTCTACAAATCCATTATTGATACATAACTGAGTTACTATAATTTCCTACGCTAATTCCAGCTCTGTTGACATCCACAGATCCATTTCGTAGAATCAGTTCTTCATTTTAGCAAGCTATTCTCTAGATTCATCAGATCAGCAACATGGGATCCTATCAAATTAGTATCAGAGCATCGATCTGAGGGCAATGGCAAGAGGTTATGGGATTGGATTCGGTAGGTAGACTAGATATAGAAATATTCTATGATGGCGATCCAGATTGGCGGCTGGGAAAAGCGGATGAAATTTTCGCAAGGAACCAATTGTCAGATAGGGAAAGAGTAGAAGCAGCTACGGCATGTTGGTTGGGTGAAGCTTGGGATTGGTTTCAAAAGTTCGATCGACAACGGACCATGCTAACTTGGAGAGAATTGAAAGGCTTGATGATCGACAGATTTCGACCATCTCAGGAGGGACATCCGTTAGAGGTACAGGAAGATCTGAAATCAGAAATTATAAAGGCGATGACTAACATGATGGAGAAGTTCGATTCCATGATAGAAATGCAACGAGATTCCATGATAGAAAAAAAAGCGACGAGTAGCAGTGGGAAAAGGTCCATCAACGGCATCGCCTGAAACCATCTTCAATTATGAAAATGTGCCGGAATCAGATGAAATTTGGGGCGATTTCTGAAAGCCATAAACTGGACAGATGTGAATTTGTATCAGCTAGAGTGTTGGAGGGGAACTTTACCTATTGTGAAACTCCACCCAAGATGGAGGAAGTTGGCGCATGTGATGGTAGCTCGACCCACCAAGATAAACCAGG